CAACAACTTAAAACATATGTGATCTCAGCAAGTTCCACTTACTCTTTTGTACTGATGTAGATAGAGAAAGCAGAGAGTGATAATCTGAAACAGCACTTGTGTGGATTTCTAGACTTTGACGGGCCCTAGGAGGTCAATCTTCCCAAATCCCATTTGATTTAAACTGATAGTAAACTCTTCTTCGCTCCCTGAGTAAATCTGGGGCTCAGAAGCAGTTCAGACAAAAGGAGGAAATGGACTGAAATTGGTGTTTGGCAATGGGGAAAAATCACAAATAAGTAGAAGCTGGCTTACTTATATGTGTTTACAACTTCACTCAAACAATCTATGACATGATAGATGAACAGTGAAACCTCACAACTTTAAAATCTAGTAAAAACAACTTTCAATATTCATTAATAAACTAAAACTGTAGTAAAGTACTTTTATTTCCAACTAATGAAACAACCGTGTTCAGACTGTTGTAAGTCATTAGCTACCCGTAGACTTGGTGCACACACACGTGCATACACACACATACACGGATGCACACACACACACACACACACACACCCTGAGCAAAGTTTGCAAAATTTAAGATTTAAACATGCTTGCCCTTAGTAGAACATTATTCTAAAATAAGACCCCCCCCCAATGGGAAAGGATGAAATATGGCCTTTTGTAGCAACGTGGATGGAACTGGAGAGTGTGATGCTAAGTGAAATAAGTCATACAAAGAAAGATACCATATGTTTTCACTCTCATGTGGATCCTGAGAAACTTAACAGAAGACCATGGGGGAGGATAAGGGGAAAAAAAAGTTAGAGAGGGAGGGAGGCAAACCATAAGAGACTCTTAAAAACTGAGAATAAACTGAGGGTTGATGGGGGGTGGGAGGGAGGGGGAAGTGGGTGATAGGCATTGAGGAGGGCACCTGTTGGGATGAGCACTGGGTGTTGTATGGAAACCAATATGACAATGAATTTCATATTTAAAAAATAAATAAAAATGAAATAAAATAAAATAAGACCCCAGGGAAATGTGGAGCTCTGTAGAAGGAAACATGCCATGGGGGGGGGGGGGGTAGTTTCTTTAGGTCCTTCGGGTCTCAGGAAGCCCAGCAATCTGTCTAAAGCCCAGACTTCTATTTTCAAGGAGCCCACGTTCTTACCCACAGTGAGTGAATTTAAATGAACGGCTCTTACCAGGGATTTTTGATGATTGGCTCTAAGAATAAACGGCTTAATCAGAAGCATCCAAGGCACAGAAATCAAAGCCATGATAACAAAGAAACTTTGGACTTCTTGCTGTAAGATTAAAATGGTAAGATCCCGTCATTTTAAGGTGATCACACAACATACTTCATATGATAAAAATGGTAAACATGGATCATTTTAGCTGTACCTATTTTAAGAGATCTAAAGCATTTCAATGAATCCACTCACTTTTACATCTTGGAGTACTCCTATTTCGGACCAGTGGTGCCCTGTGTCAATCCAGGGTAGTCACTGGAAACCCACTCTCTTATTCTTTACCGAGTACCCCCTTGCTATCTACCCATACCATATGTGAACAAGTATTCATGAGGCACATAAGGGCAGCTTTATGTATCCCTTGCCCCATGGGAATAGCCCCTGGCCCTGCATGAAAAGTGTGACAGGCCCCATGACTTCACTGGTCACTCTGTTGTAGCCAGAAGTCCTTGGGTCACTTTAAGTCACAAGCATTTATCTCAATTAGTAATTTTATCTTTCCAGTGCTAGATAATTATCTGAGCTCTCTTGCTCTTTCAAAATAAAAAAACAAAGCTTCCTTACGCTCTCCCCTGACCAGCACGCTCTCGCTGTGGGTGAGTCACCTGACGTGGGGCTCTGGGGTAGCCATGTTGAACTCTCCCCGGCTGTCTCCCTCACGGTTCCCTCTGGGATGAGGCACCCATAGTCTTTATGCTTCTGCTGAAACTCGGGAGTGATCCCCCCTTATCGTCCTGCTACACGCTTCCTATCACGCCCTCGTGCCCCAGCCTCGCTTGTGATACACCTTCTAGTCACCAGTTTTGAAGAGTGACCTAGAGCTGTCAAAAGAACCAGGCAGCCCAGGGAGGCTTGGCCAGAGCTATTGGAAAGGAATGGACACTGGGTGCTTGGAGGAAGGAAAAACGTTCCTTGAGCCTTCCCTTTTCTTCAACTGTTCTGGCCAAGTTCTCACTGAACGCCAGGGGATGATTTTTAGCCCAGTTGTAACCAGATTTGCCCTGCTAACGGTGGGAACATCTTATCTGCCCAATCTTCTATGCTTCTCCACTCTGGAAGGCTCAGGAGAGGGAGGGAAGCCACAGAAACACACACTGTGCTTGCCAGCTCTGACTCCCTGCAGTTTGTCCATCTTTATGTGAGGCTTTCCCACCTCGTGATGTACACAGCAACCAGATATTTATATTTATCTGTTGCTCTTGTCCTTTGATAGCCAGACAGGGCACCAAGTCGGCCAGGGCAGCGTTGGGAAGGGGCTGGATTTATCAACTGACATCGTCTCTTCCAGCTGCATGACCCCAGAAGGACGTCATGGAAACCTGAAACTATGTCAGGATAATTCATCTTCATACTAGGGCGTAGGGAAACCAGCCAACTCCCAGTAAGGGTTTTGAATGGGAAAAAAAGCTGGAAAAGTCACTCACTGTGCAATGTTCAGTGTATATGCCAGACCAGGTGAGGACTTTAGTTTCTAGGGAAGGAGTTAGCACATGAAATAATTGATGAGTCTGAGTCCTTTGCCTCAAAGGGAAGACTTGTTTGGGAAATACAAGTAAACTTTCATTCGGACTCCAGCACTGAGTCAATGAACCTTCCAAATATATTTACTTAGTGCTTACAATCTATGGGTGATTCATACAACCATTCATTGATGTATAACAAAACGTGCTACCACAGTAAAGTAGGGATACCTCAAAAGAGCTTTCAGAGGCACGTGTCTTCTTTCACTATCATCTAAAATCCTGCCTGATTTTTCAGGGTGCCTGGGTGGCTCAGTCGGTTAAGCGTCCGACTCGTGATCCTGGCTCAAGTCATGATCTTACCGTTCGTGAGATCGAGCCCCACGTCAGGCTGTGCGTTGACAGCACGGAACCTACTTGGAATTGTCTCTCCGTCTCTCTCTCTCTGCCCCTAGCTCACTCACGCGCGCTCTCTCTCTCTCAAAATAAATAAACTTTAAAAATTAAAAAAAAAAATTATTCCTTATTTTGCATAAAAAATGCCCTGTCACAAAGCATTTTCTCTTCTTACTGTTTGCTGCTCCCACAGAGGAGGGGGCCACACCTAGGAATCAAACTCATGAGGCCGTGCATGGGAGGAGCGGAGCATGTGTTTAATGCGGACATGCAGGGTGAGCAACCACGGGTAAGTTACACGAGCAACAGAGGGTCACCTGGCACTGGGCAAACAGCCACGGTACTTGCTACAGAGCAATCACAACTTATGTAAGCACAGCCTCCCTGAGCGAAAATCTACCTTCACACGGTATCATCACAGGGAGAGGCCAGAGGGAAACTATTTGCGTTAACCAAGAGTTACTCACTGAGTTGTTTTTATATCCAGCTCCCATGGAACATTTATGCTTTTTTTAAAAACAAAAACAAAAACAAAAACATTAGGTCGACAATGAGGCTGAATTGCTAAGTTGATAATGAAGTGCCAGAAGTGGAAGAAATCAAAACGGCCGCACGGTCCAGGTGCTGGGAGGTACTGTCCCCGGAAGAAGAATCAACAGAAAAAAGAGAGCCAGAGAGAGAGAAGTCATCTCTAACTAGCCATGGAAGCTCTGAGCAGGAAGAGCAGGGATTTGGATTCTAGTTTTCCAGGGGCCCCCTGCCCACGTCAACAGAGGGCCTCCTCTTCTGGTCTCTTGCCAGTTTCTTTCTCGTACACCTCAGCTTATGTTTAGAATCAAAGATGATGACATTTTAAGGTGCTATGCAGACCATGTGCGGTTTCAGGCCAATCCATCCGAAGGACTTGTTTTTGTTTTTTTTTTTTTTCCTTTCTTCATAGACGACGCACAAGCCAATTTTCAACTGCACAGCGATACCCACATCGGGCCTCACCCCAACAGGAGCAGGCAGAGCGGCAGCGGCATACCGTCCCCAGCACCTGTGCACTCATCCAAGTCTAATAAACACCTTCGGAAATTGAAAGGACCTAACAACCCCGGCAGGGTGCTAACCTGGCGCAGTCTTGCAAACGACTACACTCTGCAACACTTGGGAGCATGAGACAGACGTGACACCCCCCCCCCCCGCCCCAGCACATAACAGAAGGAAACGCCACAGATACCTGATGTCTGTACAGGGGTGCATTGGAAGGGTCGTCATAGTTAAACAGAAACATGTTGATGAAGTGGATGAGGATGCTTGGGGCGTGCCAGGACATGTGCACATCAAAGCGGCACCACTTGAAAATGATCATGAAGACCAAGTATCCAAACAGACACAGGATGAAAATCATCTCGGGAATAAACTGCAGAACGATGTTGAGAGTTCTTCCGAAGTATCTGGGGGTGGGAAACACACCCATTATTCTCCCCAAAGCACGAAATGTTCTTTTTCTTCCCCCCCACACCGCATCCACTCTCCTGTCAAGCAGCAGTTATGCATGGATGGAGAAGAAGAGAAAGGTAGGATTCAAGAGAGCCAGTCTGGAAGGTAGCGTCGGAAGCAAAGGGGATGCCTGTAGGGAGAGCTGGGGATCCGGCCACAGTCTCACCTGCACATCTAGCTTATACGAACACATTCAAGGGCACAAAGAGTGTGCCCTTGAGGAGCGACTAGGAAGCGCTTCTTCTAAGACAGGGGTCGGCAAGCTAAGGTTCACGGGCCAAACTGAGCCCGTCACCTGTTTTTAAACAGCCCAAAGTTAAATAAAAATAGGTTTTATATTTTTAAACGGTTGGCCAAAAAATCAGAAGAAGGAGAAGACTAGTTTATGACACATGAAAATTATACGTAATTCAAATTTCAGGGTTCACTGATAAAGTTTTATCAGAACACAGTCACATTCCATTTACAAATTGTCTATGGCAGCTTTCATGCTACAATGCCAGGACTGAGTAGTTGTGACAAAGGCCATCGAGCCTGCAAAGCTTAAAATATCTACCCTCTGGCCCTTTACAGAGAAAGTTTGCCAACTCCTGCTCTAAGATACAGAGAGAGGCTCAGAAGGCTGAGTTGGGGGCCACCAAGTTAAAATGTCAGAAAGGGCCCCAGGCCCATTGCTAATTCTAAGAGTTATCTGAGGGAAAGGGGAGATCCCGCAACAAAACATGACTACTAGACAGAGGCCTGCCTGACATGCAGTGATACCAATGATAATCTGCTCCAGAAAATACATTCTGGGATTACCTCCCATTTAACCCCACGGCCCTTTCAGGTAAGCAGGAGTACCAGGGGTCCCTAGTCACTAGTCGTGACTAGTTTGCTCACTAAATAGATCTTATTTTTCAAGCAGAACTGTACTTCTGTGAGCTTTCAGGTCGGCGGTCACCACGGGACTGGGTCTGGCCAGTGGGAACGGAAGGGGTATGTGTCACTTTGGGGTGGAAGCTTAAGAATCAATGTGTAATTGACCAGTTTCCATGTTTTCGTACATTTATATCCTTAGAGAATAGGTTTGAGATGTTTAGAGAGGCAGGTCGATAGAAGGAAAGGAAAGATAAGACAACATTAACGGTCCAAGTGAGAGAGAGGGTGCAGCCATTTGGAAGACACTACATCAGGATTCTAGGACTCTGAGGGCACGGTGGCCCAAATGCACTTATGTCTCCACTTGCCCACTGGTGGGAGCTAATCCTGGATATAGCGGTGACCCCAAGTCTTTCAGGTTGAGAGGACAGAAGATGCTACGGGCTTGCCAGTCTCTTTCTGAACCCTCAAATATGCCTGAGGCGAAAGGTCACTCATATTTCAGTGACCCAGCTCGGGAGAGACAGAGGTCCCACTTCCGCCAAACCTGCCCGTCCTGGCTCAAGCCAAGAGACCCGGCGGAGGGCTCCCTGTGGCAAGGAAGAAACCCTCACACAAGGAGACGCAGGACCAATGTAGCGGCTCAGTCACCGCTCATCAGTGACGCGGTCAGATCAACGGGCAGAAAAGTTCATCGTGAAACTCACACATGATTGAAAAGGCTGAGAACAACACCGAAAACCATCTGGACAATTCCCAGGATAACTGACATCTTCATCTTGTAGGAGTTCAAAAACGTTAGTTTGTTTGAAGCCAAGTTCCAAATCTGGATGGGAGACATGACAAGGAATACGTGAGATCAGAGTCGAGAAGTTCTCCCGGCATCGGGGGAAATAGCAGGACTCCTCCTGAGGAAGTCACTCTGGGGACCATCCATATTTTCACATTCTGATCCAGTTCAATGCGGACATTTTAGGTTCAGGAAAGGAAGGGGACCAAACCCCTTTTAAATGCGATTCTAATGACAAGTTTGGCAGAATTATTAGTGCCATTAGGAAGATATTACGTGGCTAGAAGAAAAAAAATCCTACACGATTTCTCCTCTGTTCTAAGGGAAAAGACATTCTGAAACATCATGGAGAGATCTCAAACTGGCCTCACTTCCACTTGGTAGTGACGTAGAGCTCTGGCCCATGAATTTTTCCAATCCCTTCTTGAGAATACCACCTTTGACTTGGCATTTCTAAAATGCTTCACGTCACAAAGGATTTTCCAGGGCCCATCGCAAGAAACCACACTTAGAGTCAATATTTGTTAGCGCTATGGGCAAGACATGCTCCCTGCCTTCCACACAGTCCCTGGTTTTTTTTTTTTTTTTAATTTAATTTTTTTGAATGTTTATTTATTTTTGACAGGGAGAGAGACAGAGCATGAGTGGGGGCAGGGGCAGAGAGAGAGAGAGGGAGACACAGAATCAGAAGCGGGCTCCAGGCTCTGAGCTGTCAGCACAGAGCCCGACATGGGGCTCGAATTCATAAACCGTGAGATCATGACCTGAGCCAAAGCCGGACGCTCAACCGACTGAGCCACGCAGGTGCCCCTACGCAGTCCCTGTTTTAACAGAACTGCCAGGCTTGAAAAGTGAGGGGCACGTGTCCCGGCCTTCCCACCAAGACTGACACCCAGAGCAAGCACTCAGAGTGGCTAGGGGGCTGGGTAGGGTCCCATGCTAGTTAATGGCCCCACTCACTGGCATTCTTCTTCCCCAAAGACATCTCCAACATCCCCATGGTCTCCACTCCCACCCCTATGTAAATGGTTCAGTCTTTGCTCTTACCTCTCAGCCCTCTTCAACTTTAGACACATCCCAAACTGCCTGCTAGATATGTCTTGAGGGTGGGGCACCTGGGTGGCTCAGGCGCTTAAGCATCCTACTTCGGCTCAGCTCATGATCTCATGGTTCGTGGGTTCGAGCCCTGTGTTGGGCTCTGTGCCGAAAGCTCAGAGCCTGGAACCTGCTTCCGATTCTGCGTCTCCCTCTCCCTCTCTGCCCCTCCTCCACTTGGGCGCTCAAACACCCGCTCACTCTCTCTCTAAAATAAATAAATGTAAAAATTTTTTAAAAAGATTATACATATATCTTAAGGGTTCGCTATACCACATCTCAAAGGTAACAAAGCCACATCTTCCCACCTAACATGACTTCCTCCTCCAAACTACTTTGCTTTGGGTAAGAGCTCGAAGCTCTGCTAGGCACGGCCTCAATGCAAAGTCACCCTGCACCCACCCCAGGCACACAAGCAGGCAGGAACCACACCTCACCGACACGTCCTTTACAATGTCCTGAGCAGCTGCCAGCTGGACCATCACTAAGGGGGCTGCTGGCAAGGTAGGCAAAGGGTCTCCAGTAACAGGTGCCCAGACACCAGAGACGTCTCCTCTCCCTTCACCATCTGCCTTGGCATTTAAGCTGCACCAGGCTTGCCCTGTACCCTCTGCTCTTCCCTTTGCCCTCCTGCTTGGCCAGCCCTGCGGGATCACCGAACATGGTTAGGGCAGGGTCCCCAGCACGGTTTAGGCCCAGTCAAATCTGATGAACTATAAATTAAGTACCAGGCACAAACTAAGCTCTTTAAATGTACTATCTCATTTAAGTCTAACAACCCTACGAGACGGATGTAAATATTCGCATTTTACAGAGAAGGGAAATTTATCTCAATCTCAGGGCGGTTAAGTTCTCTACACACCTAGGAAGAAATAATACTATAGCAAATAGGTTATTTGACCTACTTATTTTCCAGACTCTGTTCCAGGTGTTTGACACATAAAAATCATTTAATCTTCTGAGCAACCCAGTGAGTTAGGGCTGCTGTTATATCCATTTTGCAGATGAGGAAACAGAGACACAGAGGTATTAACTTGCCCAAAACCACATAGTGAGGAAATAGAAAAGGCAAGATTTATACACAGCTATCTGAGCCAAAAGCATAGGCTTTTAACCATTGTGTTACGTTCATTTATTTAAAAATACATACGCTTTTTCTTTTTCTTTTTTTTTTGGTGAGAGAGAGAGACAGGGGGAAAGGGAGAGAGAGAAAACCAAGCAGGCTCTGTGCTGTCAGCACAGGGCCCCACACAGGGCTCAGATCATGACCTGAATCAAAATCAAGGGTCTGACGCTCAACCAACTGAGCCACGTAGGAGCCCCTCTACGAACACTTTTAGAAAGACCTGTCAGCTCTGATAACCAAATATCTTATGATGTGATTCACAAAAAAAGGCTGCACATGGTCAATAAATGCTGCTGTAGAAATTTACGTTATGTAAAAATCCAACCGTTCATTGATATATATAGGGTCTAATACAGGCACAGTAACGTTCTGTTCAAGGGGGTATCTCTGGGGAACAGAATTGCCAGAACATCAGAGATAGGGAAGGAGACTCTTTCGTTTCTAGTTTATACTATTTTGTGGATTTTTAATCTCATATATCTCTTAGTTCTCACAAAAAGACCAGGAATGTTCAAAAACGTAAATGTTACTAGGGAAAAAGTTAATTCTTCTCAACATCGCACTTCTCCTCTACCCCTCACATTTTTCCTTTCTTCTCTATCGGGAAGATGATAAAATTGCCACAGTAGATACTCTGGCTCCGTGGGTTCTGGGCTACGATGGCCTTTGAGGAGCAGAACCGGGCAGACAGGATATGCTGATGATTCAGGGGTGGGCTGGGAAGGTGAAAAGAGGACAGTGGCAGCAAAGACATTCAAAGCAAAGGAAGGTCAACCAGACCCTCTGTCTGTCCTCCTCCGCAGCCCGCGTGCTAATCGTGAAATTCCTCGGACCACAGAAAAAGCCTTTCAAGCAACAAAAATATCAACTTGCGTTTGTTTTCAGCACTTTGCGGCTTACAGCTCAACTTTCAAGGACTTTACCTCGTGTGATAAAATTTAGAATACGAGTGTCCCTGAGTGGCCAAGTATAAACAAATCCCGGGTGATGTCTTCTGCCTTTGTAAGGGAGGGGAGACAGGCAAGCAATGGGAGGACTCAGGCTAACCGAAGAGGAGACAACGCATAAGATCCGAGAGTACAGTTTTAGGGCCCGTACTGCTTACTCTCAAATGGCAGCAACTAAAACTAAGGTCTCAGGATCTCTCCCACAAAAAGAGCTTAGAAGAAACATTTATTGACAACATTTGCCAAGTTTCCGTCTAGCTCGGTCAAGCTCATTTGGAGCACAAGGCTGCCACCTAGTGGCAGTTATGTGTTGGGCCATCACGTATAAGCCAATAGGCATGTAAGCCTTCTGGAAATCCCTTTAGATCTGAAAGGCTGTGCAAGGAAGCACCTTTGTTTCGCTTGGCTCAAATCCAGTTGAGATAGATATAACGAACACAAAAGTTAACTCGTACCATTTAAAAAAAAAAAAACTTGTGTCAATTCTAGGCGGTAAAATTAAGCAAAGCTAAGAGCAAATCCATACTTTGCTAGGATAAGGGAGATGTTACTCACTACAAGAAAATGCCAAGGTAAGGAACTTGATCCGTATGCTAATAACTTCTCTAACATGCATACTTTCCAGGCAACCAAGGGCCTTTTAAAGAAGCAATCATTAACCACCAGGGGTATAAATTATTGGAGAAGGAAGCAGATGTTTGAGCAACTATATGGAAAATGACCCAGGGGCTAGGTAAAGGGTACAGGTAGGACATTTACTTGAGTCCGACACAGTGCCACAAAACCTCCAGTATATGTAATTCTAGCTCAGTGTGTAAGTTTGTTGATTTCAAAGGTTCTGGCACTTTCCTCCCCTCTACATAGAGATCTCCTCAGCAAGACATTGTACGTAATAAATATCTAACCCAAGAAGACATTATTACCGGATCAATCCCAAATGGGTATGGATTTCCAGAGTACACTCCTGGAATGGCTGGGTCCAGCTGTAAATATGGATTTGTTTCCATTACATGTGCACTAGAGAGGGGAAAAGGAAAAATAAAAACAAAACCAATGATTAACCAGAGGTAGAAAAAAAACACTATAGTGCCGTTGGTCATGAACTTGTAAGCCAATCAAAGCCTCACTGTTGGTGCAACTCATCATTTGGCTCATTCAATCATTCCATGCATGGGTACTGAATACCTACTATGTGCGAAGTATTGTCCTAGGTGCTGAGACTATGCACATTACCATCTGGCCCCAAGACGCTCACAGTCTGAGTCTCCAAAGGCTCTCAGCCTGGTGGAGTATTGTAAAGAAAAGCAGTTATACTACGTCAGAAAAAAAGTCGGTCAGGGATGAAGGAGCATATAAGAAAGAAGTCTCAGCCTGGGGACAAGCTTGGGAAATCATCCCTGCGCACACATGGGCTCATCTGGAGGTATAATTTGGCTTTCACCCACAGACCCTAATCTTCATGAAACTCAGCTCTCAAAAGTTGCAGTCCATTGAATGTCTTTATTTATTCTTTTTGCTCAGATAAGTTTTTTAAATCTTCTTAGTTTTTATTTTATGTGCAACAAAGAAATTTTAGAACAGAAAATTTCAAAACTACACAATAGTAGAGAGCATAATATATTAAACTTCCATATAGCTACCCATTTCCCAGTTGTCAATACATGGCCAGTCTTTTCCATCTGACCCTCTACCCAGTGCTGCCTCCCACCAAATGAATCATTTCCGATTAACAGACCGCTACTTTTATCCACACATATTTTAGTATGTATTTTAAATGATACAGACTTAAGGAAAATTAACACAGTCTAGTATCATACCTTAAAAATTACGAGCAATCACTTAAAATCATCAAACATGCAATCATTGCTCAAATTTTCCCAAATTACTCATAACTTTTTAACTGTCGGTTTGTTTAAATCATTGAATGTCTTTAAATCAGTGTCCCAGTTTTGCCCAAAAGCATGAACGTCAGTGGGTAGGAATTTCTTACTATCTCTGCAAGCCCCAAGGGGATGAGAATATTAGGGGTGTTTGTTTGTTTGTTTAACAGAGCACACATCTATAGAAGGGCCAAGAAGGAATACTGAAATGATGAAGAAAAGAGTGCTGGCAACTTTGGTTGGCTACCTAGAAATATACTCCCTCCCTCCTACAACTGAGGTGCTCGAAGGTGTTAGGGAGCAACAGGGGGGATCAGGAAGCCTGATCTCAATGACCAGACCCTCAGGACACAGTGGGAACAGATGGCCTCACTGGCCGTCTCAGACTCAGACCCTAATGCATGCCTCAGTGCATACGGTTACACTGAACTAGAAGAGGTTTGTTTGTGTGTGGACAAAGCCGCTCCTGATAAGAGGGAACCGGCACCCACAGCTAAGGCATGATCTCTGCTGTTGACATAAACAAGTTCACAGAACACCAACATCAGACAAAGCCACCCTCTGACCTTGGTGGATCCAGACAAAAACAAGACCGATCCACATCATATCTGATATTAAAATATGGACATATCAAAATAAGGGCAATGCCCGAACCACAAAAATGACCAAACATTGCCCTCATCCTCCTAGAAGCCAGACCCTGTAGGCCCTTTCCCTACATCCTCTTGCTGAGATGCCCATGCTCCCCCACTGGTACACCAGCTCCCTGAGTTAGTAAATTCAGTGCTGGGTGATGCCAGGCATGCTTCTGGTGGTCCTTGGCTGAAGAACGTTGTGACAGTATCCCTAGTCAATTCCCAGGGAAAGCAAGCCCAAGACCTAGCTTGTGACTGGTGACCAAAACCAGCTTGCTGTGTCCTTTGCCACTCTGATGGATGACTGCACTTTTCTTTTGTCTCCCTGTTAATAAGGTCCCACTTCATACAAGTGATGCCTGGCATGTGGCTGAGTGTCCCTCAGACTGGGCTTGGCCTCCGAGAGCCTTGAATTGGGGCAGGAGTCATTCCATTCACAGGTGCATAAAAGAGTACTCGAGCCCACATTTGCAGAATGACAAAAAGCCAGGTGACTCGGACCTTTCCCAATCACGCTCCTGGGTAAATGAGATTTCATGGAGGTAGTTTGGTGAAATTGTGCTGATTTAACATGCTTCAAAGCCCATCGCTATGCTTACGAGTTTACATCTAAAGAGCAGAACTAAGTAATTTGTCTTTAAATTTATGAAAGCTTTGTTCTCCTGGGCATCTCTTCAGGGTACTTAATCGTAAAGCAAGTACAAAAACAAAAGCACTTGTCAATATAGCCATCTGTATTCTGGAAAATGTCCTATCCTTCATTTCCTTCCTTCCTTCCCTTCCTTATTGTTTAATAGTCCTGTCCTCTACTGCAAGGAAGCTGGACCAGCAAAGAAACTAGGGGGGATGCATTGACACCCCCATGACACAGCCACCCACGCAGCCACTCTTCGCCAGCTACTCTATCCTACCTGCCCTCCTCACTCCATCACCCAAAAGACAAACACAGGGAGCTGCTTATGAAAACTAGCCACCCCCTCCTTTGCTTTTGACATTGAATGGAGTCACTCTGAACCATCAAAGAAAATGTCCTTCAGGTGAGTCTGGGGCCTCGAGCACTGGAAACCAGCGATTTATATAATTCAACACCACATCAGGCTTCTGTCCTAAGTGCTCACTGCGTCCAGTCCCCTGCTGGAACTAGGTCTGCTTCAAATGCAACCTTCTCCGGGGAACTTAGCTTCTGTGACTGACACCAAGATGCCCAGTTTGTACCTGCCTCACTATTTGTTTTCACAGTAGTGTTGGCACATGCTACAGACACCATGATATATACTTAAGTGAAATGTTACAAACTATCTCCACACAATAGAATGACCAGCACAGTTACTGAGGGACTGGTTGGAGGTTGCTCACTCGGTAAATAAAATGGAATCATTCGTTGAATTTGTGGGCACGCCTCTGAGCAGAGCCAGGCATAGACTTCTTGACCATGAAAAGTGCCCCTGAAGCCACCTGGACAGCCAAGCGAGTGACCCACCTCTGTCTGTAAACTTACTTCCATGTGCCATTTCTGAACATCGGTCGGACACTCCAAGAAGAGCCAAAGATGTTGAAAGACTTGGAGAAGCAGTCATTGTAAATCAAGCCCGTGTAGATGGAGAAGATGCCCATAAGGAGAATCAGATAGCGTCCGTGGAAGAAGGTGTTCCAGATCTGGTCTCAGGGAGACAGAGAAGATGGCCGTCAGGGGGCTTGGCACCAGAGCCTGGGGTGGGGGAGAATGTGTTATGGGATGTCTCCAGCACCAGTGGAACATCCACGGCAAGGCACACAGGCCCCACACAGAGGGGCCACAGCACGGGGCAACATCAAAGCGATCCAAATAGAGCACACACACCGTAATTTCCCCGAGCCTAAATGCATCAGTCAGAAAAGTCCTAGACCGGTGGTTGTTACTGTGGAAGAAAAACCATATAAGCCTCAGAATCTTTAAGTCATCACTGGTTAGAAAACATAACTGAAGGGGCGCCTGAGTGGCTCAGTCAGTTAAGCGTCTGACTTCGGCTCAGGTCATGATCTCACGGTTCATGAGTTCGAGCCCCGCATCGGGCTCTGTGCTCACAGCTCAGAGCCTGGAACCTGCTTCAGATTCTGTGTCTCCCTCTCTCTCTGGCCCTTCCCCTCTTGAGCTCTCTCTCTCTCTCAAAAATAAATAAACATTAAAAAAAAAAAAAGAAAAAAAACATAACTGAAGCGGAGGCTGAGGCCTCACACGTTATGGAGGGACATGAAAGTGTGCAGCCACTCTTTCAAGTACTTCTAGGAGACAAGCTCCGAGCTGGATGCATATGGCAGCTAAATTTCATGGCAAGTCAAAGCTCCACTCATTCTGTCATAAAATCAAGTCTTGTCTAAGCACGTCCACTAAGAAGAGTCAAGTGCTTTCTATAATACTGGATGATGGGTGTCAATCATTCACAGACCTGCCAAAGTGTAGCTCTGAGATTTCAATTCTTTATTCTAGGAAGCTACGGCTCTTACAGTGTTGGTCACACAAAACTATATTGGCCAGAGGTGGAGTTTCCCACTAACCTCGCTTATGATTAAGCTGCTGTGACATCACTGAACTAGCTCTAGTTAAGACAACTTGTAATAAAAGTTTGCAGATATTCTTAAAATTCAGAACACAGCTAAAGGCATGTTTCCAGCTTACAAGATGTATTCCAGGGAACACAGAGCTCATAAGAACACTGAGCATGGACTGATTGTGGGAGAAGGGCTCTGCCATGAGAAAAACTATTTGTGATATTTTAAGTGAAAAAAAAAAAAGGCCACAAATTAATATGCAATATGTGAGCCCTATTTTTAAAAATGTTGAAAAATTTGTGTATAAGCGCAGAAAAAATACAGGAAGATAGATAAAAACATTAGTTGTGATTTTCTCTAGGTAGTTAAATTGTTGTATTTTCCCAATTTTAAAAATAAACATATATTGTTTTTTATAATCAAAGAAAAAAATTCATGTTAGGAGGGAAAAAACTTAAAAATAAAGAGAGATCAATGCCTTGTCAAGCAATGTACAAAAAACAAAAATGCTGAAAGAAATTGCACCACACCATCCAAAGCACTGACCTTTGGACAGGAATTTCAAGGCTGAATTTTGGCCCCTTTATCCTTTCTATCCTTTGCTTTTCATAAAACAGGTTGGTTTCTTTAGTGAAAACAACATACACATTTTTCAGATTCTACTTATAACCTCGGAGAACTGAGGCAAGGTATTCGACGGACACCCACCTCGTTGTTGGTCTTCTGGGAGAGCAAGCGTCTCTCATTAAGGACCATCCAAAGGGCTGCCAGGAGCATGATGATCCCATGACCACAGTCTCCAAACATCACAGCGAAGAGGAAGGGGAATGTGATGATGGTATAGGGAGCTATAGAGGGGAGACCCACAACAGCCTGAGTCCTTCCCACGGCCAGTGGCTCCATCAAAGATCTGTCTAACATGATCCGTGACCCACAAGCTGGTTCCCTCGTATCTTTCTGATTCTGTCTTCCCTCCCCATCCCCAGCATTTGCTGAGCTGGCACACACATTAGCTTATCAATAAGTAAGCATTATAAGTCCCTGTTTACAGATGACCTGAGTTTTGAAGCAGTTTGGTGACTTGCCCAAGATCACAAAATGTATCGGGTCTTAAAACCAGTTTCCCATCTCTGAGTGTTTCGTATATTCCACATGTATCACACACCTCTACTCACAGGATACCCAGCCTATGGGGTCGCTGCATTACAGGTCACAAGATTAGGACTCTGCTTGGAGAAAAAGAGCACTATAGACGACGTGGCTGAAGGTCACCTGGTCTACCCTTTTTATTTTACAAACCAGACTACCAATATCACACAGCTTATGTCACTTAGAATCCAGTCTTCTGACTCCAAGTCCTGGAAGCCAGCTGTGTTCCCATCTCACCCACAAAACAGCTCCAGCTCTGTGAAAATGTTGAGAGATGACCCCACTGAATCGTTAAGGAAACAAGAACTGAATTTGACTGCCTAATAAGGCGATGGTTCAAGGGAGAACAGGTGAAATCTTGACAAAGAACAAATCTTTCACTAGTCACCGTTTAGGCAACCAATGCAGAGCATTAGGAGGCCAAACAAAATTTTAGAAATGATCCAGTTTTAAGCAATTCACCTCCTAGGCCACCCAAGGGGTAAATCTTAACCAGTTTTCATTTTCAAGTTGCCCCATTATACAATGCATCAGACACTTTACCTGGGTTTATTTCCCGGTAACTGCCCACACCATATGCATCTACAATATTCTGGAAGCCAGCTGTGAATTTATTGGTCCTGTTAAATGTGGGAGGAGATGTTTTAGACTGCACTGCAGTCAGGATGGGGACCATGGAGGAGCCACTTAGTTCCTACAAAAGAACAAACAAAAAAAAAAAAAAATTGACAAAAACGTAAGGAAGAGGGTGAGCACATGGATGTCCAATTCCTGCCACCCCTTATAGGTGAACTTGGGACAATTTCTTGACCTCTCCGACACCCATGACCACTCTGTAAAATACCTCCCTAATATCTAATTTATCTTACAGGAGAGTCATCAAGAAAGTGGAGTTCTGGCCATTTCCATTCTCCTGCTCCTGCCAATTCACCTGTTATGCCCAGTTCTGGGTCCTCTCCTCTTCCTTTCTCCCTACTCACACCCTCAAGAGTTAACCCACTTTCTTGATTCTGCCCTTTTCTTCCAAATGGTCCTACTCCCTCCCCAGCTTCGATTCTGTTTTAATTTCCTGTCTGGGCTTTCAAACTCTCATGTCTCAGCAACCCCACAATAGCCAGGAGCCTAAAATCAAACTCATCAACTTGCCCCAAAGCCAGGTTCTCCCTTGGCCTCCCTGCTCCTTCAGCAGACTCCGTTCTCCAGATCCCTGAACCTTGGGAATCATCAGACGCGTCTCTTCTCCTGGTTCAATCAATCGATCACCAAATCCTGCTGATTGTCCCTTTAAAGTCCTTCTTTTTCTCGCTCCCATAACCACTAGCCTAGCCCTGAGCCTCCCCACTTAGCCTATGCTGCAGATGGTGCAATCCTTCTTTCATAAAATAAAACAAACAAGTACTGCTTCCGTCATGTTACTCCCCTACTCAAAAATCTTCAAAGGCTCCCTATTACCTAGAGAATGGAATCAAAATTCTTCCATTTGGTCATCAAGACTTCCTTCCAATATTGACTATTGCTCCCTTCACACCTTCACCCCCACTACTTCTGCACAGAAACAGGTGACTTTACACCAGCCATCTCTATTCTTCACTTACCCAGGTATGAACCGTTCCCCAGGCTCACTCCCCAGGAACCTTTCGGTCAGTCCAAAGTCTAACGGTACTTACCACCTGCACGCTCAGTGGGACTTAGCACTGGCTAAATGACTGCCCATCAATCCTCCTAAAATGCCATGAGGTCCGTATCACCTTCCTACCCAGCCCCACTTGACAGGTGAGGGGACAAAGGTCCAGAGAGGTTAAGTAACTTCCCCTAGGTCCCACCGCAAGTGGTGGAGTTCTTTACTCTCTTGTGATATATCTTTTCATGTTTGAGATTATGATCTCCCTAAGGGCAAGAATTATGGTGCTTCATTTTTCTTAACACGTGCCCCAGCAGCTGACATAACCCCTGGCATAGAGTAAGTATATTTTGCTTGTTTGTGACGCTGACAATGAAAGTTAGCCTATTACACTTCTCTCCTCACCTCCTACCCACTTAGAGCCTTCTACTCCTATCTGGGAAAGACTTGTTATTTCAGAGGGCTGAAGACACTGAAGAAACAGTCCGAAGCAGACTTGTAGGAGTTTGGCCCCTCTGTGATTACAGGATGACCCTGTCTCGTTCACATACGTGCATCAGGACACCTCCCCGGTGGCCCTGCTGTCTTGTCCATATCGCACGGAAATGTTTCTAAAATGCAAACTGGATTGTGCCGCTCTAGCATGGGCATAAAATCAGATCCCTTATACCACTGTTAAGTCCTTCAGGACCTGCCCTGCAGCCTCTCCCTGACCTTCTTCCCATTCTTGAAACTTGCCACACTTTCACTCCAGCCAGGTGGGCCTGCACTCCATGCTCCTCCCCACCTCCATCCACCTGCTCACTGATGACCCTTCCATGGTTCAGCTCAGGCATCACTTCCTCCAGGGAGCACCCCTGCCCTTCCCAAGCTGGGTGAAAGGAATGCTCTTTCTAGGTGCATTGTTGGACTACCATATGGGGACATTTAAATCCAGCCTTCTGGCTTCAGGATCACAGTCAGGTCACTTGTACTTTGTGTGACTCAGTTTCCTCATATGTACAAAGGGGATAAAGATAGCTCCTGCCTCCTAGGCCAATTCCATGTCAAGGCCTTTACTTCCAGATCCTTCAGCTTGAAATTTCTCCCTCCTATCCTGTCACCTGCTCCTGCTCCAAGCCATCTGCTCAGAGGGGCCTTCTGAGGGCAACAGCCCTATCACAGTATTGTAAGACCTAAAATTCCAGGTGTCACCTTGATGTCTTTGAGTCTCACAGGGCCCCAAAGTCCAAGCCACGAGTTCCTCTGTTTTCATCAGATTTGCCTCCCATGGAGGGGGAAGGGCTCCCCACCCAACTAGCTCTCCCATAGGCCAGACCATTTGCACACTGCCCAGTCTTCGACCCAATGGGCTTCACCCCCCTGCCACCCCAGAAAGGTATTCTAACAAGCTACTCACGTCCTCCCATGGAAACCAGACCCCCTCCTCTTGTGGGAGGCTGCCTCCCATAGCCCAGCTGGCTCATTGTGCCCCCAAGTACAAGCCCCAAGTACAACCTCCATGCGGCCCTGTGTGGGGAGTGGTGTCCTCTTGCCCTGGGCTATAAGCATATGTGACTAATCAACTGCTGCCAGTTTCATGTGTCCGATGGCCAGTGTTGTGTGTTTGGCCATCTTGTACCATTTAGGGCAGAGTTTCCTTTCTTCACCAACGGGGTGAACAGGTGATCAGAACAAAGCCCCTCTCCCCCCACCCCATCCTCCACCATCTGCCGCCCTCCTGCTCACCACCATCACCACCTGAAATCACATTAGTTATGGACATGCCTACTATCTGTCTTCCTTTCTAGAAAGTCTGTCAGACCAGGGCTTCGTTCTGCCTGCATAGCCCTGGATCTGTTCCTGGTGCACAGTGACCATCTGGAGGGTGAACGACGAAGGCTGTAAGATGAACCAAGGTACAGAGTGCAGAGCATAGCTGTGGGCACAGAGTGAGCACAGGGGTCTGGCTGTTTGTCTTTCTGGCCAGACGGTGACCTTCATGAGGGAACGGACATACCTACGGTCACACCGCATGTGGGACCTACAGTCTCATCTAGCAGAGTGACTAGCACATCAGTGCTCAACATGCGCTTGCAGTAAATCAGAGAGATGGTGGATATCTGTCAAACATCGAGAAGAAAAGGAATTTTCTGATACATGCCAAGCACTAGATTAAGAACTGAAGATACAGGGGCGCCTGGGTGGCTCAGTCAGTTACACGTCCAACTTCGGCTCAGGTCATGATCTCGCAGTTCGTGAGTTCGAGCTCCGCATCGGGCTCTCTGCGGACAGCACAGAGCCTGCTTCAGATCCTCGGCCCCCTCCCTCTCTCTCTCTGCCTGCCCCTCCCCCACCTGTGTGCACGTGCTCACTCTCTCTCTCTCTCAGAAATACATAAACATTAAAAATTAAAAAAAAAAAAGAAGAACTGAAGACACAAAGATGAAGGAGACTTGCCACTTGTCACCAGCAAGTCACTTATGAACTTCATGTGACTTAGGAGGATGACAACCTTAGCGCCTGACAGAGGGGCTGCGGAGGCTGGACGTGACTCCTCCTCCCCCTCTCCTGCTCCATCTGCCACTCACCATGCCTTGCTCTAATGCCCTCTTGATGCGCCCAGTGTCTGCCACCGGGAACCAGATTTCAGCAATGACGCACTGCTGGGTGACGTCAATGTTGCACATGTTCAGGATGTGGTAAATAGCTTTCATCTTCTGCACTTTAATGACCCAGGAGTGCCAGTTGGCAGCTGCTTCTTGGAGGAGGCGCTGACGGTGAGACTCTGTTTGTGTGATGACCTGGGCGAGACAGACACACAGAGAAACAAGGAACACACAGGGAGCCCCGCAATGGGGCAAAATGGAAGCTCGTCAGTCATAAAGGCTTCTTCCGCTCTGGGCTCCCTCCCCTGTCCTGTGGCCCTTCCCCGCCCTCAACCCTCATGAGCAGAGTATCTTCCCTTGCAGAGGTTAATACCCTTGGGCAAAGATCGTATCTACCTTTTCTTCTAAATTCCTTACAGTACTATTGTCATACGTTGAATTGTGTCTCCAAAAAAGATAGGCTGAGTCCTAACCACTTGTCCCTATGAATGTGACCTTATTTGGAAACAAGGTCTTTGCAAATGGAATTAAGTTAAGGTCATACTGGAGTGGGGTGGGCCCTAACTAATATGACTGGTGTCCTTATAAGGGATTTGGACATCTAGGCACACAGGGAAGAATGCCCTGTGCGATTCAGGCAGAGACTGGAGTGAGGTATCTACAAACCAAGGAACACCAAAGATTGCAAACAACGACCAGGGGCTGGGGAGATGTCTACGTCTCTTCGGGCTGCTATAATACAATACCATACAGGGTGGCTTACAAACAACAAAAACTTAGCGTTTGCAGTCCTGGAAGTTGATGGTCTGAGATCAACGCACTCACCATCACAGTCAGGTGAGGATCCTCTTCTGGGCTATCCTCACATGGTAGAAGGGGCAAGCGAGCTCTCTGGGGCCTCCTTCATAAGGGCACTAATCCCATTCACGGGGGCCCCCTCCTCATGACCCAATCACTTCCCAAAAGCCCCACCTCCTAATACCATCGCCTTGGGCATTAGGTTTTCAACCCAGGAGTTTGGAGGTGGGGCAACACAGAAAAGGACCCCTTCCTAGAGCCTTCAGAGGAAGCACGGCCCTGCTGACACCTAGATCTCAGATTTCCAGCCTCCAAAACCATGAGAGAATAAATTTCTGTTGTTTTAAGGCACCCAGTTTGTGGTAATTTGTTATAGCAGCCCGAGGAAATTAATACATCTATCAAAATGCTTTTCATATCTAATGTCTTCAATAAACGACAAGTGAATTAATGAAGGAGGGAATGGACAATTTTGCCCACAGAGTTTACTTATTTAATGGGATTCATTTTTGTTCAGGGCTACAAGAGAGTACCCTTCTCAGCAACATTCTCAGGTGGCTCCCCAGGAGCATAAGTTTGGCATAACTTCTTTTCCCCATGAGGTTTTCCTAAAATCTAGTAGGGAGCGTTCGGGGAAAGGAGTTCAAGGGTAATTGCTTTAGGGAAGTACAGTCTCTTTGACAAGTGAGAAAGAAGGAGGAGAAGGGATTAAAGAAATTAAGCAAAGATTTTTCTGGGAAGGCAAAGACGTTTGTTATCCTAAGAGTTTTGAAACACACACACACTCGCACACCTAATTCCTGAAGATACTCACGGAGGATCCAGAACTGTGCTAACAACCAACACGGCAGACACATGTGGCCATTAAAATTTTAAACTTAATTAAAATGAATTGAAAATAAAAATTCAGTTCCTGGTCAGTCAGAGAAAGACAAAAATCCTATGCCTTCACTCACATGAGGACTTTAAGAGACAAAAGAGATGAACATAAGGGAAGGGAAACAAAAATAATATAAAAACAGGGAGGAGGACAAAACAGAAGAGATTCATAAATATGGAGAATAAACTGAGGGTTGCTGGAGGGGTGGGAGGAGGGGGGATGGGCTAAATGCGTAAGGGGCATTAAGGAATCTACTCCTGAAATCATTGTTGCACTGTATGCTAACTAATTTGGATGTAAATTTTATTTTATTTTTTTTTTATTTTTTTTCAACGTTTTTTATTTATTTTTGGGACAGAGAGAGACAGAGCATGAACGGGCGAGGGGCAGAGAGAGAGGGTGACACAGAATCGGAAACAGGCTCCAGGCTCCGAGCCATCAGCCCAGAGCCCGACGCGGGGCTCGAACTCACGGACTGCGAGATCGTGACCTGGTTGAAGTCGGACGCCTAACCGACTGCGCCACCCAGGCGCCCCATGGATGTAAATTTTAAAAAAGAAAAAAGAAAATTAAAAAAAAAAGAAAAAAAATGAATAAATGTTAAAAAATTTAAAAAACAAATTTAAAAAAAAGTGAAAAAAACATTCAGTTCCTCAGCTGCCCTAGCCACATGTCAAGTGCTCAGTGGTTACGTGGAGCTCATGGCCACGGCACTGCAAGTCAGACGACATGTCCACAGAAAGTTCCGGTGGAACGCATTCATCTACAATAAACAACCTGACGTAGGCCCAGCAGCATTCATTCAGAGACTACTTTGAAAGTTTACTGAAGCAAGTGTTCTAATCACAGAAGTGCTGAGTGTCACCCTGGGGGACGACTAACTTTACAAAAGGATCTGAATTTGAGGTATGTGCCCTCGGTGAAACAGGACTCACTCACTGTTTTTACAGAAGTAATTGGTCAGCTCAAAGAAGTGTGTGAGTCCATGGAAAAAGAATCCGTCAGACTGGTTAGTCAACTGAATTGGCTAGTTAGCTGTACCATAGATGTGGCCTCGGTGATAATATCCGACTGGGCTGGCCACCCAAAAGCCGACCGGGGCTGCGGTCAGTTCTCGGCCCAGGAAGAGCAGGACTGACATCCCCAATCACCCCCTGCACCCCCGTGAACACTGCTTTCTGATTACGAAATCTCCTGCAGTGGTAGCTGGGAGAGCACAGCTACCTTTCCAGCCAGGCTGGAAGCGAGGGCCCTGGGACACAGGACTTCTCTGGAAGTGGGGGAGGTAGGTCACGCGCCTCAACGCCTCACTCACGGTGATTAAATCTTCCAGCTTCACATTGATGCCGGCCAGCATCTCTCTGCGCTCCGCTGCGGGCTCCGGGCAGGGATATATGATGGCTCGAAACCTGTGTTTCATACATTCCAAAGGTCACAAGGCGGGGAGTTACTGCGGAAAAGCATTCCGCATGTCCTCTTCTGCTAGCCATCACTGGCTTCGGTTGGATGACCATCCTTTTCTAGAATAACTGTCTCTTTGGCACTCGGAAAGCGAATCCCAGTTCTAAGGGTTCCCAAAGCATCGCTCGCACTATTTGAATTAAAGCTATGGTTCTATTATATGAATGAGCTTCGTTCAAACCAAAGAAACTGTGGGCTGTTATGTAAATAAGACTACAGCGTGACTTGTCTCTTCTTGTCCCCAGAATATATTAATGCAATAACGTCCTTCCCTACTGAATAATTTCTGCTGGAATAAAACGATTCTGTAAAATCAGAAACAATTCAGCATGCAGTTTGCCTACTCATTAGTGGCTGATAAAGGGTGTGAGAGGGAATACACTTATTTGATTACAATGTCTACTTTTAGTTACCTTGAGTTTTGCTGATTCAAGTCCTCTCTGCTCCTAGTCCCACAGCTCTTAAAAATTATTTGCATTTTAAAAAATTTAGGGGCGCCCGGGGGGCTCAGTCAGTTGAGCTTCCAACTTCCGGCTCAGGTCATGATCTCACAGTCTGTGAGATCGAGCCCCACGTCGGGCTCTGTGCTGACAGCTCAGCCTGGAGCCTGCTTCAGATTCTGTGTCTCCCTGTCTCTCTGACCCTCCCCCTTCATGCTCTGTCTCTGTCTCAAAAATAAATAAACATTAAAATTTTTTTTTAATTTGTTTAATTTTTTTTTTTTTGAGAGAGAGAGAGAGAGAGAGAGAGAGAGAGAATGTGAGTGGAGGAGCAGCAGATAGAAAGGGAGACCAGAATCCAAAGCAGGCTTCAGGCTCTGAGCTGTCAGCACAGAGACCAACTCAGGGCTCGAACTCACCACAAGATCATGACCTGAGCTGAAGTCAGATGCTTAACTGACTGAGCTACCCAGGTGCCCCATAAAAATCAGTCTCATGTTTAACATTATCTGGTCAAACGTCAGAAAGTTGTTCTAAAATCCTAAGGGATCTCAAAGAAGGCCCAGTCAAGAGTACTCTGTCTCCCATCCCTCTTCACCTAATCATGACCCAATCCCTGATGAAAGAGCCATGAACAGTCTCTTACCCATCACAGATCTTCTTGATTTTCTGTCTGAGTTGCTCTCCTTGATAAAATATGATGAAAATATTCTTCTTAATTTCTTCTTTCTGGAAAATCAAAAATTATATTTATATATATATAATGTTTTCTTTGTGGTTATAATGTAACAGAAATGTAAAATCTTGTTTTCATATTTTAAAAAAATTATAAATTTGGGGCACCTGGGCGGTTCAGTTGGTTAAGCATCCAAAGGAAAGAAAGAAAGAAAGAAAGAAAGAAAGAAAGAAAGAAAGAAAGAAAGAAAGAAAGAAAAAAGAAAACTTCACCCTCTCCCAGTTAATCTAATTCATTATTCCTTATGATTGAAGGCAAGGCCCCTGAAACAGGTCAAGGCAGCCTTAAAACAACAACCAACAACTGGCTACACTAGCTGGACTACAGCTGGGCCTGTTTTCAGCTCTAACCCTACACTTAAGAGACGGGTTGATAAACAAGAAACCATGCAGAAGACAGGAACCAGGATATTATAAAGCTTAAAATGAAAATAGCTGACCTAGCTCGCTAAAGTTAACTCACACACAACTTTTAATGTTTATTTATTTTTGAGAGAGAGACAGAGACAGGGCATGAGTGGGGGAAGGGAGACACAGAATCTGAAACAGGCTCCAGGCTCCAAGCTGTCAGCACAGAACCCACCACGGGGCTCAAACTCGGGAACGGCGAGATCATGACCTAGGCCAAAGTCGAATGCTTAACCAACTGAGCCACCTAGGTGCCCCAACTCATACACAACTTCTATATTTCAGGGGTGAGTGGGTGTTCGATGTTTAACAAAGATAAAGCCATGCCTAATTTTTGACTCACTGTATGCCCATAAGAACACTGATTAAAATGCAAATCAAAAGTTCAAGTTTGACAGTTCACAAGAGAAAATATATATTTCACAAATATATATGAAAATGTTCAAGCAAAGAAATGAGCTATTTTGCTCTTATTTAGTTCGGGGTGGATGGGGGTAAAAGTAAAGTTATGAAATCCATTGTTGGAAAAGTTATAACCACACACCATTCAGAGCACTGGAATCAGGTATGGCCCCACTGAAAAGTCATTTGTCAGGACCCATCAAGTGTCATGAAAATGCCCATACCCTTTAAACCAGCAATCCTATTTCCTTGAATTTATATCATGGAAATAATTCAAAAGAAAATAATCCACATGCACGAAGATGTTCATCATAGTGTCTATATTCTGGAGAAACACAGGAAATAAAGTCCATAAATAGATAGTTAATGTCACATCAACTCACTGGAAATCCTAGGCATCAATTAAAAAGAAGATAAATTGAATCGTCTCTTTGGCAGCAGGTGAGGGGTATTTAAGACTTGGGGAGCTGCTTGGTTTACATTATTTCCAAAGGTTCCTTTGTCCAAGAAACACTGGTCCTTTTCTGAATCCTTCAATTCCACTTGTCCCTCAATCCACCAGAACCAGGAATCTGCTCTGATCTCATCTGATCTGCTCAGTGACCTTCAATGTTAACAGGCTAAGGTCATCCTTTTCCAGATGCTGACTTTATAAATACTGTCTCTACCACCATGACTACTACATGCCAAAACATGTAATAGTCATGTTTTGATAGTCAGTTGTCAAAGTGATGATTTAAAGTCAATTTTTGAAATAATATCTATAAGGGACACATAGTGATATAGAGGAATTTTGTATTAGCTCAGATCAAGAGAAGGCCAAAAAAATGTTTCCATGTTTATTACTACGACCTGCCTATGGCTTATGAACAAGAGAAAAACAGCACTAGAGAAAAGTAAGCTTTCTTCCTATTTTAAATTTCATTTAACTATGAAATTGTTTTCCATGAAATAAAACCTAAGTTAATTTTTTTTCCCCTCTATCCTGGAAAAGATGATGAACTCAGAAATAAGCCCAACTTGGAATTAAAAAGTAAGGTGACTTAGGGGCGCCTGGGTGGCTCAGTTGGTTAAGTACCAGACTTCAACTCAGGTCATGCTCTCACAGTCTATGGGTTCGAGCTCCATGTCTGGCTCTACACTAACAGCTCAGAGCCTGGAGCCTGGTTCAAGTTCCGTGTCTGCTCTCTCTGTCCCTCCCTTAACCATGCTCTGTCTCTCTCTCTCTCTCTCTCAAAAATAAACATTAAAACAATTTTTTTTTAAGTAAGGGAATTTAAATACTAACTGGAAATTGCAGAGGAAGTAAACCCTACGGAATTAATAGCAGGAAGTGCGTGGCACTCAGCAAAGAGCCCTCTCAACATCCTTGTTTGAAGCATCCTGTCCACTGACTACCAATATCAGTATGCTTGTTAAAAATGCAGAATCTGGGGGCACCTGGGCGGCTCAGTCAGTTAAGCATCTGACTCTTGATCTTGGCTCAGGTCACGATCTCACAATTCATGGCTCCTCAGTGACAGTGCGGAGCCTGCTTCGGATTCTCTCCCTCCTTCTCTCTCTCTGCCCCTCCTCTGCTTGCACCTCGCCCTCAAAATTAATAAATAAACTTTAAAAATAAAATAAAATAAACCCTCTAAAAAAAAAACAACAGGGCAGAATCTGAGGCCCCACCCCCACCCCACTGTGTCAGAATCTGCATTTAACTAGGTACCAGGGTCACTCATGTGCCTGTGCACACTGAAGCTTGGATTGCACTGACTGAACTCAGTTCTTAGCTAAACTTCCAGGAACTGGTAGAGCTGTGTCTTGGAGGTGTTACCAACAATCAGACCTTGAACTGAACTTTTGTAGGTTTTTTTTTTTTTTTTTAGAAAAGGGGGCAGGTACTGGCACAAAAACAGACACTCAGACCAATGGAAAAGAATAGAGAACCCAGAAATGGACCCACAAACGTATGGCCAACCAACCTTTGACAAAGCAGGAAAGAATATCCAATGGGATAAAGACAATCTCTTCAGCAACTAGTGCTGGGAAAACTGGACAGCAACATGCAGAAGAATGAACCTGGGCCACTTTCTTACGCCAGACACAAAAATAAACTCAAAATGGATGAAAGACCTCAATGTAAGACAGGAAGCCATCAAAATCCTAGAGGAGGAAGCAGGCAACAACCTCTTTGACCTTGGCTGCAGCAACTTCTTACTCAACAGGCCTCCAGAGGCAAGGAAAACAAAAGCAGAAATGAACTATTGGGGCCTCATCAGAATAAAAAGCTTCTGCACAGTGAAGGAAACAATCAGCAAAACTAAAAGGCAACCAACAGACTAGGAGAAGATGTTTGCAAACAACATATCAGATGAAGGGTTAGTATCCAAAATCTATAAAGAATTTATCAAACTCAACACCTAAAAACCAAATAATCCAGTGAAGAAATGGACAAAAGACATGAATAGACACTTCTCCAAAGATGACATCCAGATGGCCAACCAACACATGAAAAAATGCTCAACATCACTCATCATCAGGGAGATACAAATCAAAGCCACAATGAGATATCACCTCACACCTGTCAGAATGGCTAACATTAACAACTCAGGCAAGGACAGATGTTGGCGAGGACGCGGAGAAAGAGGATCTCTTTTGCATTGTTGGTGGGAATGCAAGCTGGTGCAGCCACTCTGGAAAACAGAATGGAGGTTCCTCAAAAAATTTAAAATAGAACTACCCTATGACCCAGTAATTGCACTGCTAGGTATTTATCCAAGGGATACAGGTGTGCTGTTTTGAAGGGACACATGCACCCCCATGTTTATAGAAGCACTATCAACAATAGCCAAAGTATGGAAAGAGCCCAAATGTCCATCAACAGATGGATGGATAAAGAAGATGTGGTATATATATACAATGGAGTATTACTCGGCAATCAAAAAGAATGAAATCTTGCCATTTGCAACCACAAGGATGGAACTGGAGGGTATTATGCTAAGTGAAAGTAGTCAGTCAGAGAAAGACAAATATCATATGACTTCACTCATATGAGGGCTTCATGGGACAAAACAGATGAACATAAGGGAAGAGAAGCAAAAATAATATAAAAACAGGGAGGGGAACAAAACACAAGAGACTCTTAAATTTAGAGAACAAACCGAGGGTTGCTGGAGGGGTTGTGGGAGGGAGGATGCACTAAATGGGTTAAGGGGCACTAAGGAATCTACTCCTGAAATCATTGTTGCACTATATGCCAACTAACTTGGATGTAAACTAAAAAATAAATATAAAAAAGAAAGATATGTTAAAAAAAAATAAATATACGTTAAAAATTTTTAAAAATAGAGGTGCCTCAGCTGGTTAAGCATCTGACTTCAGCTCAGGTCATGATCTCACAGTTTGTGAGTTCAAGCCCCGTGTCAGGCTCTGTGCTGACAGCTCGGAGCCTGGAGCCTGCTTGGGATTCTGTGTCTCTCTCTCTCTCTGCCCCTCCCCTGCTCGTGCTCTGTCTCTCTCTGTCTCTCAAAAATGAATAAATGTAAAAAATAATCAATTAATTAAAAAAAGTTTTTAATAAAATATACCATGAATATATATACAATAGAATATTACTCCGTGATCAAAAGAATGGAATCTTGCCATTCGCAACAATGTGAATGGAAGTAAATGTCTTATGCTAAGCAAAATAAGTCAGAGAAAGACAAATATATGATTTCACTCATATGTGGAATTTAAGAAACAAAACAGATGAACATAGGGAAAAGGAAGGGAAAATAATATAAAAACAGAGAGGGGAGCAAACCAGAAGAGACTCTGAAATACAGAGAACAAACTGAGGGTAGCCGGAGGGGACTTGGGCAGGGGATGGGCTAAATGGGTGATGGGCATTAAGGAGGGCACTTGTTGGGATGAGCACTGGGTGTTAACATGTAAGTGATCAGTCGTTAAATTCTACTCCTGAAACCATTACTACACTATATGTTAACTAACTTGGATTTAAATTTTTAAAAATAAAAGAAACGAGGAAAAAGGGGGGGGGGGGGGCAGAGAAAAGAAAGGAAGCAGATATTAGCTTCAAAGAACTACAGACTCACTGTTTCAGAGAAGCCCCACCCCCACCGCGCAGGCCCAAGGCCCCAGGAAGCCGAGGAGAGAGTTCTCTGTAGCCCGGGACACCCACCGTGACGGGATCCTCCAGAGTCACGTCCATCTCACTGAACTTCAGGTAGATGTTCCCTCGGCAGACTCTCCACAGCAGCCTCTCAAAGGAAGCCATCCTCTCCCTGTTGATCACACCGGCCGTGAACCTGAGCAGACAGAGGCACTGCTGAAGCACGGAGAGCGGGAGGTAGGGAGAAGGCCCCGTAGGACGTGAGGTTATGCCACCAGGAGACAGAGGCCCGCTTCGCCCTGAGCAGGAGGCAACGACTCGGCCCTTGGTGGCAGGCGTAGGGAGGCCACCCTGCATCAGAGCCCCAACCCCACCAAGTCGTGTTTCCTCTCATGTGTTGAGGTTTCCCTACTCACCCCGATACTACGTATTCACTTATTTGCGATTAGAAATACAGTAGACCATTTGTTATGGCATCAGAACTAAAGAAAGGAACTATCCCAACTGCTCCACAATGAGCTCTGGGCATTTTTACAAATAATGTACTAAGAATGAAATATACAGGGCGCCTGGGTGGCTCAGTGAGTTAAGCCTCTGACTCTTGATTTCTGCTCAGGTCCTGCCCCTCCGGTGGTGAGACAGAGCCCCAGATCAGGCTCCTTGCTGAATGTGGTGCTTGCTTAGGATGCGCTCGCTCATGCGCTCTTTCTCTTTCTCTCTCCCCCTCTCCCTCTCTCTCTCTGCCCCCCTCCCCTACTCGTTCTCTCTCTCCGATCTCTCTCTAAATAAATAAACTTTAATTTAAAAAATAGAAGTGTTGGGGCGCCTGGGTGGCTCAGTCAGTTAAGCGTCCGACTTCAGCTCAGGTCACGATCTGGCGGTCTGTGAGTTCGAGCCCCGCCTCGGGCTCTGGGCTCATGGCTCAGAGCCTGGAGCCTGCTTCCGGTTCTGTGTCTCCCTCTCTCTCTGACCCTCCCCCGTTCATGCTCTGTCTCTCTGTCTCAAAAATAAATAAACATTAAAAAAAAAAATTAAAAAAAATTTTTAAAAAAATAAAATAAAATAAAAAATAGAAGTGTAACATACATACTAATTTCCATTCATCTCTACTTTTAAAACCATCCAGGTGTCTAGATAATTTCTGACAGAAACTTTATACTCATTTCAAAATGGTTACTTTCGGCGATCTATTAGTTTAAACCTACGCTGATCCCATATTACCTTCTGATCAAATATTTTCTATATGGATTCATCAATTTGACTTGGACACTGAATGAAATCCCTCCATTTTGAATCACCACACATTTTGGTGGGTATCATCATATCACATTACTGCTCCTTATGGATGAGCTGCGCACATAATTACCTCATTTCTAATTGCACTTCAAATGGCAAACTCCAAATCTATTTTATTATCAAAGCAGTATTCCAAAGATAAGGAAGCAGGGAACAGTTGCGAAAACCCATCTAAACAATTCTTGCCATAGTCTTGCCCTTGCGTGTGGGGACAACACAAACATTGTACTCTTCAGGCTCCAGCATGTTAGTTTCACCACTAACACGAAGTTATCACTCCACCAATCTGAAAAGGTTACTCTGGGGTTTATTACTGTGTGGAGGCCTTATATTTATTGAAATAGTCATCATTGCTCTGTCTCTCTCGGTCTCAAAAATAAATAAACGTTAAAAAAAATTTTTTAAAAAAAGAAATAGTCATCATTCCAGGGGCTAGTTCATTCATTCATTCATTCATTCACTCACTCACTCAAACACTCGGGGAAATCCAACACCAACCAGGCACTGAGCTGTGGACCAGAAACCCATCTACATGTAACTTTCAGAGCAGAGAGACACTAACCCCAGCTTTCCAGTCACATATGCAGGCGTGGCTCTCAATTCCAGGAGGCCAGAGGTATCCTCCGTAAAGAAATCATCAGCTAGGCTGGTTTCGGTCTGAAAGTCAAAGAACCATTTATTTTCTTTTACATGCATTTGGACTACCTTAAAATCTCCCTGCATCTCAAGGGTTTGTCCATGTTTCACGAAACTTTAATTTTCCACAAAGAGTTAGTAGAATTCAAAAAGTGGAGTGCTCCTTGCCAGATCAAAACCTTCCCCAGTCTTTTACCAGCCCAAACCTGTCCAATCTCATGCTTTGTTCTGACTTTGTTCTTGGTGTTTAGGGCGCGTACTTTTTAATGAGCGCCATAACATTTCTGCCTTTAGTTCACAGTGGCAACATGTTTCACCCAGAATACCCTCCCCCTCACTAATGACCTAGCCATGGGACAGAAACACAGTGATTTATGCATATTCCAAAACCAGTCAGTTTTCAAAATGGAAACTTGAGGCCCTGGGGGAAAGGTCCCTTTAATAAATAATCCCCAGATAACAACCTCGAAGAAGTCCTGGGTTTTCTTCAGGAGATGTTTGAGTTCGGTCAGTTCTAGGAAGCTTTTCTTTAAAGCCTGCTGGTTCTGGTTGGCTTCCTGTAATTCTCCTTCCAGTTTTTCTAGAAGAGTCTATGCAGAATGGAAAAAGAAGGTAAAGCAGGCAGAAAGTCCTATGACATTTGCCCTACCTTTACCACTACAAATAACTAAATATCAAAAAGAATTCAGTGCATCATAAGGTAGCCTGGAGTTGAGTGGCCCATTCAGTGCAACACAGTATGACCACAGAGCTACAAGCTAGATCCGTTTTCACCAAATGGGGAGGATTAGAAAACACTTTGGGGGGATGGAAATTAGATTCCTGAGGAAGGCAAGGCATTTCAGCAAAGTACGTGTCTCTCCCCCATTTCAAACACTTAAAAGGGAAGCTAAAGTGAATTTACATGTTGAGAATTCCTTCCACCTCAAATACACTGTACTGATAAAATACAAAAAGAGAAATCACTAGTTCTGGGTTAGAGTCTGGAGAACCAGGTACGAGCAAGAGAAAAAGGCTACATAGAGAAATGGCAAGATAGGCAAGAAGACAAAATCAAAAAATAAGAAACAATCTTCCTTCCAAAATGAGCATACAAAATGAGTAAGTCTCAAGAAGAAATCTTACGATAAGAAAAATCACCAACAAAATCAACAGTCAGAACACAAACTCACACTGAGTGCAATTATTTTTATGGAATAGCCTGAAAAAGAGTTTAAGGTTTTTTTTTTTAGAATGTTCAAAGAGCACCACGTACACACACACGCACACACACACCCCTACACACACACACACACACACACACACACACACACACACCACTAAATTATTAAATAAACATGTCCTAAAATGAAAAAACAGGTAAATATAGAAGGGGAACCATTGGACATGTGGGGCGCCTGGGTGGTTGAGTCAGTTAAATATCCAACTCTTGATTTCGGTTCAGGTCATGATTTCACAGTTCATGGGTTCAAGCCCTGAGTCGGGCTCCTGTTCTGACAGGTCCGCACTGTCAGTGGGGGAGAGATTCTCTCTCTCCCACTCTCTCTGCCCCTCCCCAGCTTGTGCTCACTCTCTCTCTCTCAAAATAAATAAACTTTAAAAACAAGAAATCTTGGAAATGTAAAATATAGGTATTGAAGTTCAAAATGTAATAGGTGAGGATCTCTCTGTTGGGCACAATTTGTGAATGCACTACTGAGATTTGGCAAATAATTAAAAAATTTGAAAGCTCAGGGTGCCTGGTTGACTCAGCTGGTTAAGGGCCCAACTTGATTTTAGCCCAGGTCATGATCCCAGAGTGGTAGGATCGAGCTCCACATCAGGCTCTGCACTGACCATGGAGCCTGCTTAAGATTCTCTGTCTCTCTCTCTCTCTCTCTCTCTCTGCCCCTCTCCCTGACTCTCTAAAAAAAAAAAAAAAAAATACACACACACACAGACACACACACATATGAAAGCTCATTTCTCACTTATTCAAATGTCCAACAACAATAGAATGGATAAAGTGTGGTACATTCAATACAAGAAACACTATCCAGCAGTGAAAATGAATTAATTTCAGAAACATGAAACAATATGGTGTCTTAAAAATAAAACGATGTAAGAAAACAGAAAGTTGCAAAAGAATAAACATGATTTCATTTACATAAAACTAAAATGTGCAAAGCTAAATCATATGCTATTTAGAAGACTAAATATGCGATAAAACTCTACAGAAACAAAGAAAAGAAAAATACAAAATTCAGGACAGTGATTGTCTCTAAGGGGGGAGGAGTGCAGAGGGGAGTGGGGAGGTGAGTGGAGGGGAGAGGGGGGAGGGGAGGGCACACAGAGGGCTTTAACACCATCACTGTGGTCACCTTTATCTCATTCGGAGTGATGGCACTCAGTGTTTACTGTATCATTATTCTTTATACCTTACACACAGTTTCTAAAAATTCTACTGTATCAATTCAACATTTAACAAAAACAATGGTCAGTGAATCAGCAACCATAATAGATGAAAGTGGATTAAGGTCACCTGTTAAAAGACGGAGACGATCAGGCTAGATATTTTTTTAATCTACCTAGCAGACACTTTTACCAAAGAGATTAGAAAATAAACAATAAAACAAAAATATTCCTGCAAATGTTAGTTCCCCTCCCTCCCAAAAAAAGCATATTAATATCAGAAAAAAATTGAATTTTTAGTATTTTTTATGATGGAAAATTTCACACACGTTGCAGAGAGAACTCCACCATGGGCCCCACATGCACATCACCCAGTGATAATCACTACCCTAAATTTTGAACACTAACTATAGTGGCAGAAAGTTGGGGGAGAAAACGAAGTTTTTTCTTAACTGCTTCTTAACCATTTGCTCTATACGCTCAATGATTCTGTTAAAAATAGTGCTGGGGCCTGCTAGGAATTTACCCAAGGGATACAGGAGTATTGATGCATAGGGGCACTTGTACCCCAATGTTTATAGCAGCACTCTCAACAATAGCCAAATTATGGAAAGAGCCTAAATGTCCATCAACTGATGAATGAATAAAGAAATTGTGGTTTATATACACAATGGAATACTACGTGGCAATGAGAAAGAATGAAATATGGCCCTTTGTAGCAACGTGGATGGAACTGGAGAGTGTGATGCTAAGTGAAATAAGCCATACAGAGAAAGACAGATACCATATGTTTTCACTCTTATGTGGATCCTAAGAAACTTAACAGAAACCCATGGGGGAGGGGAAGGAAAAAAAAATGAGGTTAGAGTGGGAGAGAGCCAAAGCATAAGAGACTCTTAAAAACTGAGAACAAACTGAGGGTTGATGGGGGGGGAGGGAGGGAAGGGTAGGTGATGGGCACTGAGGAGGGCACCTTTTGGGATGAGCACTGGGTGTTGTATGGAAACCAATTTGACAATAAATTTCATATATTAAAAAAAAAATAGTGCTGGGGCACCTCGGTGGCTCAGTCACTTGGGCATCCAACTTCGGCTCGGATCATGATCTCACGGTTCATGAGTTCAAGCCCTGTATCAGGCTCTGTGCTCACAGCTCGGAGCCTGGAGCCTGCTTCAGATTCTGTGTCTTCCTCTCTAACTCTCCCCACTCACACTCCGTCTCTCTCTCTCTCTCTCTCTCAATAAGTAATAAACATTAAAAAAAAAAACCTTTTTTTAAAATAATTCTGCCTTTAAAAATATTTTGGACAACAGCCCATTATTTAAAACATAGTTTACAAAGTGATAGTTAAATGCAAAAAGTAGAAAATTATAATGTAGACAATGGACATGGGGTTACAAAAAAATATAGCTGATAAGGATAAAACCTAAAACCTGAGAAGTTATGGCAGTTTCTGCTGAGATGGTGGATTTGTGGGTAGATTTTTTTTCTGAATTAGTATTTCCTCCAGGATTGTTATGAAAGCCTCTTTAGAAAATTTGCAAGTCAAGGGCCCAAAGCCACTTGTGTACTCTTGCACAATCTTGAAGGATTCCCCTTCATAGGAATGCTGGAGGAACACTCAACTGCCAGACCGTTGAATCCGTCTGTTCCCTTGGTCAATGGTTAGACAAATATTGCTATGTATAAGCTCATGCCATTCTAATTTCATCTTTACAACAAATAATACCCAGGAGGAAAATACTGAGGAAGGGCTGTTGGTACACATTGGACTGTAATCTAACTGGTTACCAGTATAAATGTATGAAAGTGTAGAGTTTCAAAACCAGTGGGCCAATGCCTACCTCCTTTGGAGGCAATGATTTTTGTTTTTTTTAAGTACTATCTGAAACGTATAACCAACTCAATATCTTCCAAAATATCCAGGTTTTAGTATGGCCAGATCCAAAATATTTTCCAGGGGAGTTGCCAGTCTCATATCTCTGTTAGAGTATCTTTATTTATACTACTAAAGGCTTCAAAAATTTCAAGAATTTTACATTATCTTTAAAGAAAACAAACAAACAAACCCAGAGATAAGGCTCAGCTCAGTGAAGCTCCCCTACCTTCCTGCCTCCTTCAATGGGCCCTTCCTTTTCTTAGCATAAAATATCCAATTTTTTTAATCAAGATCGACAGGGCCTTCCAGGATCTGGCTCTGCCTACCTTTTGACATTCTTTCTCACTGCCTCACCCCTCCCTCCTTTCACCACCATCTGCTCTAGAAGCTCCTAATGGACGTGGCCATGTTTTGTTTCTCTCTAAGCTACCTTGTGCATGGTGGGCACTCAAAGTTTTGTAAAAGGAAGGAGAGAGGGAAAGAAAGGGGTAGTCCCCTCAGTTATAACGTCCTTGGCTAAAGAAAACAGCTGGCTGAGGCACAGCTGATCCCAGAAGCCAGTCGAGGAGAGGCCTCAGTCTAGAGTAGATACAAAGCATGAGTCATTTCCCACCAGAAAGATGATTAGTTACCAACACATTGGATCCGGCAATTTCACTTCTGGGTATTTATCCGAAGGAAACAAAATCACTGTCTCGAAAAGATGCCTGCAGTCCCGTGTTCATTGCAGCATCATTTACAAGAGTGAAGACAACCTAACTGCTCATCAACAGATGAACGTATAAAGATGGGGCATATGTGCACAGGGAAATATTACTCAGCCATAATAAGAAGGAAATCCTGCCATAACAATGGCATGGATGGACCTTGAGGGTACACTAAGTAAGATAAATCAGGCAGAGAAAGACAAATACTTTATGATCTCACTTAAATAGGGGGGATCTTAAAAAAAAGAAAGAAACAAAAGAAAAGAAAAGAAAAAAAACAAAAAGTTGAACTCATAGATACAGAGAACAGACTGGTGGTTATGGGGGCTTCGGGGTGTGAAATGGGTGAAGGTGGTCTTCCAGCTATAAGATAAATAAATCCTTAGGCTATAATGTATAGTACAGTGACAATAGTTAAGAAATGAGGGAAGACAAGACAAGAAAAAGAAGATCCCATCGTGCCAGCAAAAGTCTTGTTCGGTAGCATCATATAGTCAAGACTTCACTGCTTCTAAGAACTTTGTGTCCTGGGTGGCTCAGTCAGTTAAGCGTCCGACTTTGGCTCAGGTCATGATCTTGCAGTCGGTGAGTTCAAGCCCCACATCAGGTTCACTGCTTTCAGAGCTGGGCCCACTTCCGATCCTCTGTCCCCCTCTTTCTCCTCCTCCCCTGCTTGCACTCTCTCAAAAATAAATAAAACATTACATTTGCAACTACCTGGATGGAACTAGAGGGTATTATGCTAAGTGAAATTAGTCAGTCAGAGAAAGACAAATATCATATGACTTCACCCATATGACACTTTAAGATACAAAACAGATGAACATAAGGGAAGAGAAGCAAAAACAATATAAAAACAGGAAGGAGAACAAAACATAAGAGACTCTTAAATATAGAGAACAGAGGCTTGCTGGAGGGATTGTGGGAGGGGGGATGGGCCAAATGGGTTAAGGGGCATTAAGGAATCTACTCCTGAAATCATTATTGCACTACATGCTAACTAACTTGGATGTAAATTAAAAAATAAATTATTTAAAACAAAAAGAAATATAAAGTAAAAAAAAAAAAGAATCATCAATGGATCATAGAACAGAATATTTCCATAGCCTCTAAGTATCCCCACACAAAATATTTAAGTGAACAATGGGAAAATATTAACTTTACATGAGTGCAATCTGATGAATACAACCTTAACCAAGAGATCAAATTTAATGTCACCAATTCTGGGACAAATGGATATCATGTGCCAACTTACATAATGCACTGAGAAGGATGTAGTATCACTGTGTGGTATTCCCGGCAGAAATGCATAAGTTGAATCTAATCATAAGCATAGAAAATCAGGTAAACCCAAGTTGAGGGACACTCTAGTAAATGGTTAAGACTTCTCAAAATTGTTATGGTTGAGTAAGACAGTAAGACTGAGGACTTGTGGCAGAGAGATAAGAATAAAGTGCAATAACAGTTAAATACAATGCATGATACTAGACTGGAGAGGAGAATAGACAGACTATAAAATTTGTCAAATTTTCTGTAAATGACATTGTTGAGACAGTTGGTCACATTTGAACAAGGTCTGTAAATGAGATATATAATAGTATTGTCTCAATGTTAATGTATTGACTTTGATCACTGTAGTGTGTTTATGCAAAAGGATGTCCTTGTTCTCATGAAAAGTACTCTAAAGTATTTAGGGGTTAAGGATGTATCTACAGCTTACTCTCAAATAGTTTAGAAAAAACTTGTATGCACATTTATCTGTATGTAGTGTGTATAAGGAGAAGAAAAAGAAAGAAAGAGCGAAAGGGAGTGAAAGAGAAAATAAGAGAAAAATATGCAAAATATTAACGGTTAAGGTATGTGAAACAAGTATAAACAGGAGTTTCCTGGCCTATTCTTTCAATTTTTTTAAAAATTTGTAATTATTTCAAAATAAAATGTATCTCCCCCACAAAAAGTATATGGGTTCTGAATACCAATGGGATAAGTTCCTGGCTCCTTCATTTATTAACTCTATGATGACAGAAATGTTACTTGACGTCTGATTCAAATATTTGACCTGTAAATAGGGACAATCATTGACCAATTACAATTACATGTAAAACATACAATATGTTTTGAGCAGTATTTTGGACCTAGGGAATACTCAATAAAAATTATATCTCTCAGATAGATAGATAGATAGATAGATAGATAGATACAACATTAAAAAAGAGAGAGAGAGAATTTATGTCCATCAATGAAACCACTTCTCAAAGTGGCGTGAGCTCCCTTCGGGCTGCAGTAGGAGAAAAAAAGAGCTCTCCCCATGATCAGAAGTGACTCTAAAAATTGTACAGTGGGGGTGGGTGCCTGCGTGGCTCAGTGGGTTAAGCTTCCAACTCTTGGTTTCAGCTCAGGTCATGATCTCATGGTTGGCAGGATTGAGCCCCATCTCGGGCTCTGCACTGACAGCATGCAGCCTGCTTGGCATTCTGTCTCTCCCTCTCCTCTGTCCCTCCCCAACTCACATGCACACACCCTCTCTCTCTCTCAAAGTAAATAAACATTTAAAATGAAAATAAAAATTTTACAGTGGGATTTTCCTGGGGGATTAATACTGAAAAGTGGACAGTCACATAAATCCGCCCCTACACCTTCTGCAACTGGGTAAAGATCCGTGAGTGGTTTTTTTTTGAGCTCCTCAGGAGACAGGCTTCATGACTGTCTTTAGCAAAGTAGAAAAGAACCTACCTCCAGGGTAATCATTTCCCGTGGGAGAGGGGTTGGTGGGGCTTTCTCTGGCAATTGAACTGTGATCTCATTTTGCATCTCATCTTCCAGAAAACCTGTGGGATGAAACCCCACGAGAGAGCCCAAGGTGATTGTGTTTTCTCACCTAAGAAGTGGGTCCAAGCAGACAGGTACCTTTCAGCCAGCCCAGCTACCTGAGTTCCCCGCCACCCCCGCCCCCGCCCCCCCAGGACTGCCATGGCACCAGCAACCCAACCCTAATTTCCCCACTCTGTCTCTAGAATCACCTCAAAAAGTATACAAACAGGTACATGTTTGTTATAATCTAGTTCTGCAAACCATTTACCTCCCAACCAGGTGACACTTAGACAGTAAACAGAAAACTGGCTTACGGAGAATTCTCTCCAGCGACTCACACCTTCTGACTTCATTCACAAATTTTCTTTGGAAGCTGTTCACATTCACATTTAACTAGAGTGGGGGGAAACCAGAAGCCACACATTAGTAGCAACAGATGCCAATGTATTCCCTTTGGTTATTATTATTATTAATGCTGGGGAATTATTACTATTATTATTATTATTATTATTAATGCTGGGGAAGGTTGCTGGAACCATCTTCGGAATAGATACTTCCATGTATGAGACAGGTAAGTTACAGGCAAAACACACCTTGATGTTCTTATACACAATCTCCCAAATGCCTCAGCTCTGGTCTTCCTACACTTAGTCCTCCCACAGTTAAGGTTTCCTTGCTTTTAGTTGGATTTACATCCAAATGAGCCTTGAAATCCTCAGTGGAGTCATGAATATGACAGGATCTTGAAACTGCATAGCTCCATGCAATGTTATCACAATCATCAACAAAAATTCAGTGTCCTAGTGATGGTGACCCTCAGCTCAGCCCAATAAATGTTATTAAGGAACTGCCTCACGTCAGGTCCTGTACTAGAAACTAAGAACACACAGAACAAGACAAGATCCTTCCTGCAGGAGCTTAGTTTTGATTGTGATCTTGGTGAGGAAGTAAAGGAGTAAAGAACGTTGTTCAAAAAAGCTTGGTAAGGATCCAAACCACCTCTGAGAAATGATACCCCAACATCACACTCAAGACTGTCTAGCCCTAGAATGTCACTCTAGGGAGACTGTGCACTTTGTCCTCAGACCAGCTAGTTAGGAACAATTGGTTTCTGTCTTCGGAACAAGGTTTGGTAGTCCACATGCCCATTGGAGACCTCTAATTCTTTGAAGGTACTATGTAGGAAATAAAGTATAATGCCATCTAACATGTAGTGACTGCATTAGAGCCTCAAAACATTCCTATAGAAGAGATACATCTAGAGGAAAGGAGAACATGTTTGCAAGTCACTTCTCAACGTTAGCACAAACCTTAGCCAGAACAACTAGAACCACGTGGAATGCCATCTATCCCAGTTCCGGGCTCTACTCCCTGAACTTAGTTCACTACCAAGAAGTTGGTGTGAAAGAGATGTCTACACCCACCCCACCTTCCTCTGGTCTCCCAAGAATGTGACACCTACATCTTTGAACTGAACCAGTCCAAGCTCCCCAAGCTCAGCCACACAGCAATATGCAGCCTCCACCTGGAGAAACAGCTGGGACAAACACATCTCCTCACTGCGAAACACGGACGCCATCTTGACACAGCCTTGGTCTGCAGGAGACAAAGACATCGGAGGGAATAAGAGTATAGAAGCCTTAGGATGAAAACTGGCTTTAGTTGCATTATATTAATATCTGACAGGGGAAAAAAATCCAACAGGAATGACTCTTAATTCTAAAAATATAAACAAAAACAAGATAGCACTTTTCACCACTTATCGGACTGGCAAGAGATTAAAAAATATGAGTAAAGACCCATGTTGTGGACGGTATGAGAGAGCAGGCATCTTCATACACTGTACTTTAGTCTTGGAAGTGTACATTTGGACAGTTTTTTTCAGAGAGCAATTTCTCAGGGTCTATCAAATTTTATAGCACTCATATCCATGACCCAGGATTTCCACTGCTATTCATCTGGACAAACTTGGAGATGTATGGGAAAATGTATGCACAACGATGTTCCTGATAACATTGTATATCATAATTATAATAAATGGATCTAACCCAGATATCCATCAACAGGACAGTGATTAAGCTGACTCACAGAACCCTGTGCAGTCAGCCAGAATGAAATAAATCTGTATGTATGTCCTCTGTATGGAAAAAGGGTATTCATGTAGAACCCACTCCCACCAAAGGCCCTCTGGACTGATCTACCACTGCCAAGCCAAATCAATTTCCCCAAAGACCAACCTTCTGGAATAACTATCACACCTCCAGAACGGGCCCCTTTTTCTCATTTCATTTTATAATATATACAGTAGCTGCTGTTTGACAGACACTGGGGTTATCCCTTCTCTGCTTTAATTATTCTTGTATCTCTATTTCTCATAGAATCAAGTCTAAAACCCTTGATTTGGCCAACAAAAAGGTTGTATACCTGGCCTTTGCCTTCCCCTCCAGCTTCATTGCCCTTCACACTGCTCTCTGGACACACAATGTCTCCCGGAGCTCCCTCCTATCTCAGGACCTTTGTCCATGCATTCCCCTAGATTTGGAACCTCACTTTCTTCCTCCCCAAGTCCCCTTGGTTTCCATGCACCCAACACAATCCTGTCATTGGAGCCTCAGTGCAAAGATCCTCTTCTACCCTAAGCCATTTCAGACCACCACCACCACCACGTGAAACCAGTACTCCCAGAAGATAAATCATCAGCAACTACTTGTTTCACGTTTGTGTTGCCCACTAACCAGTCAATTCCATGAGGTGAGAACTATGTCATGTTTTCCATTCTATCACCAGTATAGCTCAGCCACAAAGCAGGTTCTCAAAAGTTACTGACCGATTTATTGACTAGAGACCAAACATCATCCCTCCCTCCAGAATGCATCGCCTGATGCTGCATTTTTTGCCTTTTGACACCTAGATGAATCAAAACTTTTCATACTACCCTCTCTGATAAATAAAGGAATGTTTCCGTAGAAGAGAGACACAAGACATCAGCATCAAGCAGACCAAGAACACAGTGTAAAGGGCCTTCTTACCCCGGCTTCGTCCCAGCAGGCTCTAGACAGGGATCCGCAGCAGGGCGGGGGCTGCAGCTCTCTGGTACTCCCTCGGCCCAACCCCCCTAGCAGGGAGCCCCCAGAGGCAGCTGTGTTTGGTCAGGGCCTGTGAGTGGCAGGTCTGGGACCAGGATTCCTCGGGTGGCTTCCCTAAGGCAAAGAGCCCCTCCCGGTGCTTCTCCTCCCTAGGTGCCTACAGAGCCCAGAGGCAGCTCTGTTGTATCAACACCTGCCTGGGAGTGAGGAGAACCTGCCTCACCGGCCAGCCCTGCTCAAACCCCCTCCCTCCCCCAGCCACCTGAGCCCAGGGCCACGACCTTGGAGCCCCACCAGGAAGCAGTGACTTTCTCCTGTAAGAAAAGTAACTCACCCCTCGGTGAGCAGTTTTGGGAAAGGTTTCTAGAGGACTTAGAAGGGCCCTAGAGACAACCTTCCAGTGCATCTACTAAGCACATCAAACACTCCTTCTTGTCACTGTAGAATGAAATCGTTTGGGACATGAAAAACAAATCATGCCCACATCTTATCAACAACTATCTTCAAAAACACTTCACTTGCAACACAAAACAGACAGATAAACACTCAATAGCTAAGATTCAGCTTCCAATGTGGCCCAGGTAAAGAGACAGGGCCAGACATGACTATTTACCCTTTGACCGAGAATTGCTGTCCTGATCAACTTATTTGGTGGAGAGGGGCGAGGAGCAGAGGAGTAAAGCAATTACACCGTGTCTCCTGGTTGGGGGTCCTCTGCAGTGGCCACCTTCGTTCACACTAATGAGCTTGGCAAAGCAGCTTTCCTCAAGGGGGGGTGGGTGCAGATCCCTTCATGCACCCACCTGGGGTGAGTGGCACATGTACCCTAGAACAAGAAGGGTGTTTTGTTGTTGTTGTTACTTTTTAGAGTGGAAAAATTAAAGCAACCGCAAAAGTACAGAGACCAATATAAGGCACCCCCATATTCACACTGCTCAGCGTCAACTGGTGAATTTTGTATCATCAGTTCTTTCACCCACTTCTCCCACCCACCCCAGGCTACGTTGAAGCTAATCCCACACATATTTCTTCTTTCAAAATATTTCAGTATGTATCTCTAAAAGATACATTTTCATGTACATATTATATTATATATATTATAATATATATTATATATTATATATTATATTATATATTATATATTATATATAATACATATGTAACCTAAAAGATACATTTTCATATACATATATTA